CATAGGCCTACAAGCCTAATCCATATACTCATCTCTTTTACATTCTTCCAACCGCGTGCAACTTACTGGAGTAGTCAAAAATATCTATGAAACCCTGACATTATCCCTAACTAGCTACAGACAAACTCTCGAAGCCATGTATACTCATCCTAAAAAATATAACATAAAATTAATCATTATATAATCATCACTTATAATATATCTCCAAGTAGTGTAACCTTATATACTTAAGCCCTCCTCACTTACTCATCCAGCCATTACTGGTCATTTATGTGCTTGTGGGTGTGACTGTGTAACTCAATATATATGGATTCTATACCCAGCATCTCTTGCTATAATATACTTAGATTAGCATGCATAATCAAATAAATTATTAAAATATATTAAAATTCCTACCAATCTTCGCATGTGTTGAGTATGTGAAACTGAGCCCCAATATGGAGGGAAATATCCAAGCGCCTAGCATTAGAAGCTCGATTTTATTTATTATGCATCCTTCTCGTTATATAATCTTGCCAGCGCAAAGTACTATCGAGGTCGCCCATACATTATCTTCAATCAAGAGCGATCATTATCTATCCTCCTAATGAGTGTGAACATGTTTCATAGGCGAGTCGTTTTGCATTTCTCAAAATTTGTCAATCCTAGGCATGAGCTTCTGCCCTCTGCCCATGCCAAATCGCCAGCCCCCTCTCGTGTGCCCGCTGCTTGTGCCGGACTAGCTACCTGCTCTCATATCACCTACTGCCAGACTGGAATGTTCGAGCCATATGACCTGCCAGGAACTCGAACCTGCTCCTCTTGCAAAACCAACCCCCATCTCCACTCGGCTATGGAGACAAAATACAACATAGACTTTTATTTATTTATTTATATTATAACTTTGATAGCGGCGAATTTCTGACGGCAATTTCCACCTCAAATTTGAGCAAAAATTCTGCCGCAATTTTATTTGTGGAAAAAATTCCACCTCAAATTTGTTGCAAAAAATCGTTAAAGATTTCCATCACAAATCCATTGCCATTTTTTACAAAAAAATAATCCATCGTAAAGTCCGCTGCAAATCCGTAACTTTTATATAATGACAGTCGATTATACATCCAAGATCTTTGATTTTGAATATCTATAACACACTTGAGCTATAAATTGCTAAAATCAAACAATGATATTAGTTTCAATTTAATGTTTTTGCAATATAATTATTTTATTGATTAGATCATTGGATTCATTCTCATAATAAGTTGATTCTAAGATTGCATAATGAACTTATGATTGCAAACATGATTATAGAGGTGAATTTCCAATTTTTCATCATTAAAAAAATTTCAAATGACACCTTATCCAATTAAGATATATAATATTCAGATAAAGTACAAACATATCATAAGGTTTAAGCCAAGAGTTGAAAGAGGTCCTCATATTTGTGTGATTAATGATATATCACACCAAGAATGTTTTAGAAAAAAGAAAAGTTTCTTTATAAATTGGAAAGTCTTTACGGATGCTTCATAAACATTTTATGCTTGCAAGAATTTATAAAACCTAACAACTAAATGATGCATGTCTTTATGGATGCTTCATAGCTAAGCTTCTTCTGCACTTGAACTTGCATTAATGAATGAGTTGCCTACATGTGTTGCATTATTTATAGAAGAATAAAATAAATATAATAAAAAAGAGAAAGAAAATAAAAAAGAAATACTTCTTGGAACCTTAATAGACTAGAATATAGTAATAGATCGAGCATTGCCATAACAAAATCCTAATGTAGCTATATGCCTCATATATAACATTGGCCCATGCTAAATAAATAATAAGTGTGACAACCACATAGAACAATGTCTCATGTAGTTTATCCCTATAGAACTATCAAGTAGCAATATAGAAATAAAATATATTCATATGAAATGTACCAAATCAAATTTGTTTGATATCATATTGCACAAAGGAGCTGTTTGGACACATGATTTATGCTGGATTTGTTGGAATAAATATATCATAATATAAAATGCGGAAATAAAAAACATGATTAGAAAATTAAATTAAGACATTTATATAATTCTGTCTTATAATAATTTTATAAATGAATGAAGAAACTGTTACCGAATTGTTGATCGAGATTTGAGTTCTTCTTTGTCCGGAAGACGTTGATTGAATCGTAAGCCTATCTCTCTTATCACCCCACAAAAGTTCATTACTGAGGTGGGCAACATCAAAATCAATTATTGATGAGGCACGTTCTTTTGAATTAATTTTGTGGTTCTATAACACAATTATCTCTTCAAGAAGAGACATGAGAACAGCATTCTTCGTCAATACATAGTCTTTTCCATCCTCTCATAGAAGGAATTATGTATCATCATCATCAATTTCATGTAGACTTAATTCTCTATTATAAAAAGTCATCTTTTTCATAAGCACGGTTTTCCGTAGTTTATCATGAAGTCATGTATTTAAAAATATAAAATGAAATTATATGACATAATCACAATTTCTTATTCTTAATGTTTTTTAATTTAGAAGATTTGATGTAATTCAATGATCACTCATGACGTTACATCAATCTATCTTATTTTTTAATATAGAAATATATGAGTCTCATTTATCTTCTGAATATAAAATTTAAAAATGGTGATGCATAAATATATTACTAATGATGATCATAGATTTACATTTATATATGTCCATTCTAGTGCTTAATTATATGAGAAGCACGGTGATGAAAGGCTATGGACCTATAATTTCAGCTACCAATAAATTTAGAATTATAATTTGAACTCTAAATAATAAAGCAAAATATGTAATTCAATATTATTCACTATACATAAAATGCACTCTTGAATTTAGTAATAATTTACCTCAATAAAAAATTGAATCGGTCACTTGATT